GATACAAAAGAGGGCAACATTGGAGTTGGAAACCGTGTCGATTACCGTCTGGCACTCCTCTCATGTTGCCATTGGTCACCGATAATCTCGCAAGAGACATCGACCGCGTCGTAAGAAGGTCGGGACTGCCAATCAACATGATCGTCCGACCGCCACCTTCACTAGTACGCCTTTTTACATCATCGCCTTTACACGAAAACTGGTGCAAAAGAACAAATTGTACGATATATAACAGAAGGTGTGCCAGATGAGTAGTGTATAAAGTGGAGTGTAGTATTCTTACCAAGTATTCTTACGGCAACTTCTCCAAGATTCTTGAATACTCGCTTGTAATGCTCAGCAGTGACCGTCGTATAAGCCGTGGTATCTGGCAGCACAGCTTCTCATAGAGAGATGTCCCTATCTTGCGACATAACAATGACACCGGTGATCTCGCAATCGCGTTTACACGAAAACTGGTGCGAAAGAACAAATTGTACGTTATGTGGGGAACAGAAGGTGTGCCAGATGAGGTGTGTAGTGAATAAAGAAGAGTGTCTCGGGTGTGGAGAATTTACACTGGAAAAGCGGCAAGACCACTCTACAAGAGAATGGATGAGCACATAAGAGCCCTGCGTAGTCGGAGAAAATGAAGATGGCGATGAACCTCATAGAGATATAGGGCAGTGCTACGTGTGGGAGGAAAACTATCGTGACTATAAAACGATTAATCGTTTTCCTAAACACACATGAAACGCTCACGAAGCGCTCCAGCCCCATTTTCTTGAATCAACCCTTCGTCTTGGTCCCGTTTCTCTCCACTAACAAGGGAAGGATACGAAGTCGAAGTGGCCATCCGTAATGAACTCAGAGATTAATTTTCGGACGCTGATCTCAAATCCGCTCTCCAAATCTGCGAAACGATTCTCTGAAAGAAGTTACGGGGTTGTTTCAAATGAGTATTCATAACAAGAGACGCCTTCAATGGGGAGCCGCCAGCGACGTCCTGGCCGAGTGGTAGTGGTGGCGCCTCATGCTGGTAAGACTATGGTTCGGTTCTTGGTGAAGTGCGGGTTTTTGCTTTATCATTATGCTGTTTCCAGCAAAAGAAGCTTTAGTGTGGAAATGAAAGAACATGTACAAAGAGTCACTTGTTTGGGGCTACTTCAAAGCATGAAATGCTTTCTTACGAAGTTTTCGAATCAATATTATTTCTACAGGTGTCGAGATGTTGCCATTGCACCAGAGATGACGTCATATCCGGTGAGAACTATGAGTAGCATAAACGGTTAGAGATACCCGCTATCAAATTCAATAGGTGTTTACATTGAATATGTTTCTGTCCCCAAGTTGTCCTCCTCAAACAAGTGACTGCTTTTGCACATTGTGTTAATTTCCACACTAAAGTTCTTTTGGGCTGAAAACAGGCATAATTGATAAAGAGCAAAGTTTAGGACATCACCAAGAACCGAACCATAGTCTTACCAGCATGAGGCGCCACCACTACCACTCGGCCAGGACGTCGCTGGCGGCTCCCCATTGAAGGCGTCTCTTGTTATGAATACTCATTTGAAACAACCCCGTAACTTCTTTCAGAGAATCGTTTCGCAGATTTGGAGAGCGGATTTGAGATCAGCGTCCGAAAATTAATCTCTGAGTTCATTACGGATGGCCACTTCGACTTCGTATCCTTCCCTTGTAAAACGATATTGGTAGGATGCATACGTTTTTGCCAATGTTTTCATGTGTTGCTATTGTGCTATAGTATTTCAGTTGAGTGAAGAAGGGCTTGATCCCGAAACTCATCAGAGTTTTTTGTGAAAGAAGAGCTTTCGAATTGCACTTGTTCTGAGCTTTTTGTATCGTTCAAGTTCTGAAAGGTGCTATCACAGGACATGGCAGCATTCGCTTAATGAAGGAAAAAATGTCAGAAACGGTAACGTCCCCTCCTTTCTTCACCTTCCAAGCAGCTAACAAATTAACGCATATTCCATCACTTATAGAATCAGGTAAACTTCTCATAAGGACAGCTGCAAATAAACAATACTTGTCATGGAACACAGGTCAGCTTCTTCCTGATAGCCTAGAGCCGCAAGTTATTCGCACACTTTTCTATGTTTTTTGCATTCTCTGTTTTTATCCACCCGATTTTTTGCTATCTGCTTGGAAGCCTCCACGGATATTACACGTTTTCATGACTTTTTATTAAGAGTAGTACGCAAGTACAGCAACATGTTCCCTCTACACAAACACACCCAAAACAGCATACAAAAGCAAATTAGTGGCTTGGGAATGAATCGCCAACAGCTCGTAACTTCAGAGGCCTAGAGCAGAATGGTCACGCCCATACGCTTGGGCGTTCTGCACTGGAACGCTCCTTCAAACTTGTGAACCAGGGTGAATATCACTTGAGGATTCCTCAACGACACGTCGAGGATTCTCTGCCCGATCAGACACGATCTCTCGCGCGGACACTCACACTCGCCATGTGCGTGCCGTCTTTGCCTGCTGTCTTTGCGCGCGGATGTTCACTCTCGGACCTTCACCTAGGATGTTTCAGAAGCTCAAATGCGCAGAGGGATAATTGAGTAGAAATCCAAATTAATCAAAGACCAAGCCCAGCGATTATGCCTTACGACAATTTCAAGAAGAACCTTGCAAGGAGCACGCTAGGCAAGATCAGCGCTACGTTTGCTCCAGTCTTCTGATCTAGCACGGAGCTATTGGCTCAATAGCGTCGGCAAATCCGATAGAAGCAGCAAAGTTCACTCATCATAGACCTCCAGTCACTTTCGATGGGGACCCCTTGCGCAACGAAGAGAAAGTACATTCGGACCAAGGCCAACCGTCACGTTGGACCAGTTTCGAAAATTTTACGACCCCCTCCCCCCTCTGGAGGGCCTCGATACGACCCCCCCCCCAGTGCCAACTCCTCACGGCCATCCTCCACCACCATCCTCCCTGCCATCGCCATCATGGGATCATGGGAGCAATTATAGTATTTGATTCTGAGATCAGTACCAACTCCGCCCACTCTTCCTTCCAAAATTCCGTCGAGCGGGGAGGGGGGGGGGGTATATGGGACATAAAACGGCAAAATTTTCACACTCACACTCCAACCCAAAAACCCAGTTTACAAGAACCCACTATCCGTTCCATAAAAAACATCCCTTCCCTTACTGTAACATTGACGCTACCTCGCGAATTACGACCCAACCCCTTTTCCACCCCCCAAATACGACCCCCACCCCCTCGTTGGACTTTGTTCAACGGACGGTTGACCCTGATTCGGACGCTATTAGCAGGAAACTATGGCAAACATCTGGGCGTAGCTACGCTCATCATACATCAACTGATCATGAACGCGAAGCAAGCCTGACCATCTGCAGAAGTTTCATTCTGCGACCGTATAGACAAGACATCCCTAGTTGGTCACCAGCGTAGATGAGTCATGAGTCTACCACGATAAAACGCGGCACGCCAGAAGGCTACGATACAGCCAGGACCCACCATCACGACCAAGGCTCGAGCCCGGTTCGTTGGGTTCGCGGGGATCCCGCTTTGAGAAGCATTTCACTTTATGCAGAAAAGCATCGCGAGTTTTACCATGGAATAGTTCCCGAAGGAGAAAAAAGTTAATAAATACAACCACAAATACCTCTAAGAGCTTTTTCTCTCACAGCCTCACTCCTTCTAGGAGGAATGCATCCATTCGTTCCCCAGCAAATGAATGCATATCAGTGATTATGATGGTGTATATTTTTGATCAATTGTTTTGGCACTATTCAACTACCAAAATCTCAAAATTTTAATTTTCGCCGAAACTTCGCCCATAAGGGATTCGATGCCCTGATCACGAAAATGACATTCATTGGCGTTGGCACCATCTGGCGCCAAATGGCGCCAGTATGGCGCCAGTACTATTATCACGAGATTCGCTCTAAACTTATGGTTATTTGGGGTCCTGTCCACGAAAAAATAGTTTCCAGCATTTCCAGTATTCAACGCAGATTTTCCGTTTTCCTGGGCCCGCCCACTTGTACATATTACCTCATACTAAGCTTAGAGGAGGGAGGACTCCTGGGTAGGTAAAACAGGCAACGCGTGGCAAAAAGTTGAAGCGTATAAGATCACAGGATGGGTAATTCACTCACTTCGGAGCACTCTTCTCCCCAAAGGCTCAGTCCTGATCGCGAGTAATTAGTGAGAGGCGCAGAATGAGCCGAAAATGGGCGCCAAATGGCGCAGGCGCCAAAATAAATGTCATATTCAGGACCCAAATAACCTCTGTAAACAAAGTTTTACAGCGAATTTGATAAAAACAGCCCTGGTGCCAAAGTGGCGACAATTGCGCCAGATGGCGCCACGTTAAAAATGAATGTCATTTTCGTGATCAGGGATCGAATAACCCTATGGGCGAAGTTTCGCGTGAAAATTAAAATTTTGAGATTTTGGGGTTGTAATAGTTGAATATTTTTGTTTTTTTGTTTTTTTTTTTTTTTTAGAAAACATAAAACTCTAAAGAAATCAAAGTGTTGAAATTAGGCCAAAAACTACGAGACAACTCGCATTTGCTATGGAGTGTGTCATTTTAATAATTTTGCTAGTTTTCCTGGGCCCGCCCACTTGTACTTGGGATTTCCCAATCGACCAAAGCATGATGTGAGCGTAGGGCCAATATTTTTTAACGGCCCAAACCTTTATCTTAGTCATTAGCTCAATCACTGCTCCAAATCAATAATGGGAGCAACAGCGCTCTTTTAAGTGATTTTGGTCTTTCTCCATGTTTTTTTTTTCTGAATGCCGCATCTTCTTCTTCATTTTCGTCCATTTTGGTATCCCTCCTTTGAAGCGAGATATTACGATAAAGTAAGTGTATGTGCAAGCATGGAAGTACATCCACTACTGGAAGCAGTAGTCAGGGGCCTAGGGAAGCGAGAGGTGGCCTTTTCGTGCAATAAAAACTTGCAAAAACAACGGTGATCAGCAAATATTACGGAAACAGGTTTTCGTTAACTCACTTGCCGCTCGACCTTGGTTGAGAACTCAAGATTCAAAAGATTTTCTTGAGAGAAATATGGTGGTCTTGTCAACTTCTCCAGAGTTTCACTTGAAGTGAGGTATTGACGCTTTTTACTCAGTGCTTCTTTCTCAGCTAGCAAGCGTCGTTTTTCTGCTTCGAACCTGAAAATAAGTTGGATCCATGAACAAAAAATTCGTGACTAGGCCAGTTGGTGGGAGCCATTCCGCACCACAGTTGGGGAATGTTCGGTGAGATTTTTGGCCCTCATTTAAGTCATGCTTTTCCCTCTCGAGCGACCAAACTGAAGTAGTTATGAAATGCACGCCTCGCTACTCACCAGCCCATTCAGTCGAGAAAAACTCGAACTGAAGAGCAAAATTTTTTCATACCAATACTACTAAGAATTTTTTCACGCCAATACATGTGACCTAATATTGTTCTGTTTTATTTAGAAAGCTCTTTAGATGCTCAACGAAACGAAAATTGACTCCAAATTGCGTTGATGAGCATCTGCAAAGTGGTGACTAAAGCAGAATAGAAGGTCCACTTGCTCTTTGAATCGATCAAATCTAATGATTCAGACTACTTATAAGAGCGCTAAACTTCAAATTATGGCACATGCATTTTTCTTCTTCAAGGTAAAACCTCTCTGAACAGACTAAAAAATATAGAGCAATTTTACCACAAAGTTATACCTTAGGGCACCAGGATTGCCTACAGTCAAATCTTCGAAGGTTGATAAGGAACAAATTACTTGGTTCAGAAGCGTCCCAACTGAGGTCAAAGATGAATGATATCATCATGGTTTATAAGATACATAAAGAAAAAGTTGATTCAGAAAGACAAGTTTCTATGAGTTTGGTCCAGTCTCGAACTAGGGGTGCGGTACACAGGCTTGTATTTCAGCAACCCCAATTTTCAGTTTTTCACGTTCCGAGCGAGAACGAAGTAGGTAGAAATGGATGTGGAAGGTTTTCTATCCCAGCTTCGTTCTCTAAATTCAAAGAAAATGGTATCTCAATGTCTGAATCACACTGAGTAAGGTGCTCAATGATCACATCAGTCTTTTTCTGGATTGAATTGTTTTGTCGATGCAGCATTCGTTTGTCACATTTTGTTCTGTATTTTTGGTTTTCTTCTACACATTTGAAGAGCATGTTGGAAGTTGGTTGGAAAACTGCCAAAAATAGAACACCATCTTTTGGAGTGAATAAAAAACTGAAAGAATACTCACCGTTCCTTCTCTGTTCTTTCTCTTACTATTAGATCGAGCTTGTCACGCGAACGCCTATCTTCCTGTGAGAATAGAAATTTTTCAATTGTTTCGGTCTGTTATCTTATGATTGAATGCGAACTTGACTATGTGGACGAACATAGCTATGACACTCACACGTTGCCGGGCTGCGGCACGCTCCTCCGCTTCTCTTCTCTCCCGATCTCTGACCTCCTGATTTCGTCTTTCCTTCTCTCTCAGTTCAGCTAGACTGCGCTCTTCTTCAAGCCTCGAAACAATAAGATTAGCTTAGCGACCATAACAACTAGTGAGGAATGGGTGAATACCTTTCGATCTCCCGTCGCTCGTTAGCCTTCCTCTCCATTTCAACAATTTCTAACGCTTTTCTATCCAACTCTTCCCTTTCTCTTTCCCTTTCGAGATCAACTTGACGTTGTAGCTTGCGAGCCGCAGCAGCCCTTTCCAAATCGTAAGCAGTGAGTCTTTCTTTTTCCTCTTGCTCTCTTCGCTTCCTTTCCCTTTCAGCAGCCGCTCTTCGTTCTGCATCTCTACGGGCTTTCTCTCGCATTTCTTCTTCCTGCAGCTTCGTCTCCCTCTGGATATCCTCCAAACGTTCACGTTCGCGTTGCTCCTTTTGCCTTAATTGAGCCTCTAAGAGCTCTCTTTCGCGTCTCTCGTCCTCAAGACGCTCCTTCTCCCTCCTTTCGGCCTCTGCTCGTTCTATCTCCACTCGCTGCTGTTCTCTTCGGATACGCTCCAACCGCTCCTTTTCTTCCCTTTCTTGCATTTTTCGCAGCCGCTCTCGCTCTTCGGCTCGTCTTTGTATATCGTCCAGAAGGTCAGCCTCTCGGCGTTCTTCTTCTCGGCGGCGAGCTTCCCGCGCTTCGTCAGCAATTCTTTGTTTTTCTCGCTCAATAGCTTCTCTTCTCTGGATTTCGAGCAGTTCCCTTTCTCGAAGCTCAAGCTCTCTTCGTTCTCTCTCTAATCGCTCGAGTTCCTCCCGTTCCTGCTGAAGTTTCTCTTTCTCTTCTCTTTCTTTTTCTCGTTCCCGTTGTTCCCTCTCTATCCGCTCCCTCTTGATCCTTTCGATCCTCTCAATTTCAATTCTCTCCCTTTCTATACGTTCTCGTTCGATTCTCTCCAATTCAAGGCGCTCCCTTTCTCTACGTTCCTGCTCGAATCTTTCACGTTCTAACTGCTCCTTTTCCCTCTCGAGACGCAAACGTTCCAGTCTCTCGGCTTCAGCTTTTTCGCGTTCCAGACGTTCATTCTCCAATTGTCTTCTCCTAGCAAGTTCTTCTTCTTCCAGAGTCCTACGTTCGTTCTCCGATCTTTCCCACTCAGCACGTCTCTGCATCTCCAACTTTTCACGTTCTAAGCGATCTCTTTCGATGCGCTCCTTCTCTAGTCGTTCTCGTTCGAAAACCGAATCTTCGAGGTCTTTTCGCTTCCGTTCTCGGTCCAGTCTTATTCGTTCAAGCATCTGAATATATATAAATATATTAAGGTCAGGAAACACGACAGGAACTAGCAACTACGTGACAAGAGCTTCATACCTCCAATTCCCGCATTTCCCAAGCACGAAGACTTTCCTCATCTCTTCGCCGCCTCTCCTCCTCTTCCTTCCTTCTTTTTTCTTGCTGGTCACGAATTCTTCGCTCCTGCTCTTCAACGTCGTGGTGGTATTTAATCTTGAAGTCGATGGTTCTCTCTTCTCGAATGTTCGGGTCAGGGTTCGTGATATATGCCTCTATTGGTGAGGAACGTCCAAGTGGTGGCTGAAATTTAGAACTTATTTGCACAGAAACACAACACAGCAAATGAACAATCATAAGTACAATGCAACAACACCGGAGGTCGTTTTAGTTGAGTTTGAAAGGATTCCACGGTAACGCCAACACAATCAAATATTATTGGAAAAAAAATTATGTTAAGGCTCCCAAAAATCTAGATTAGAAAAACGAGCAGAACAAGAGATGAGTGCTTGTGAGCTGTAAGACTTTCGCCTTCGGAAAAATGGTAAATAATATTGGGCTCATACAAAAGATTTCCAACCTTAAAGCGGTCCCGAGTCATGACTTCACACAGGTGCGCAACAAATATGGCCACAGAGTAATTATTGCGCAGGAACCAAAGCATGTGGAACTGATACACCATGAAACCCACGCATATATTTCAAAAACAACGAACAGACATGGTCGACTCTAGCACGAATTACAGCTCGGCTTCAGTATGCATGGGCGGCAAGCAGAATTCCTCGAAAATGTTGGTGCATATTCAATGACTGATTCAGTGTGGTGGTGGTGGGTACGAAACTTTCGCTGTTGAAGTCAAAGGTTCGCTGGATTTGTATCGGGATTGCGCTCTTCAGTGAGACCCCGATATAAAGTCAAGAGCATTGGCGCAACATAAATCTTGAGCTTCGCTCCTTACGAGCCGTCGCTGTATCATGTTGAAGGATAGAAACTGCTTTCTCGAATAATTTTCACTGACGTTCCTACCTTCCCGAGAGCATTGATATTAGTCCGAATCGTTCTGCTGGAGAAATGGATGCGACATAAAATTAAGCCCGCTCCCCCACGAGGTTCCTGCTGGCAAGCGTTCAGGTGCACAGTGTTCCGAACTTTTCCCTTAAGAAGGAGAACAGTTCAAGTCATCCGATAATATTAGGCATATACATTTGCATTAGCCTTGGGAGGTTGAACTCGAGATGTTTTCCTTCTACTGAACGATTTGCAGTACAGTTATGAAAGTCTTTCGCCTGCGCTATGTTGAATTGATTCCTACCGAATACCGAACCTTGAATCCTACCGACGGCCGACGCCGCATCGCGGGCTGCGCCGGCTACAGTATTCAGCGTGTAAAGGATCTTCTTCAGCAAGTATTTATTCGAAAGATTCACTGTATAATTCTATTTTTATTCGACAGCTATGTTCGGATGATTGGGTTAGTATAGTGGATTAATAAATATTGTCTCACTCGAGTCTTTGGTCAAAACCGGCACAAAAGGGCGAGCAAGATCGTGTAGAACAGCTTATTCACCTCGCAGCCCACATCCACCACCCCCCACCCGCTCAATATTAGGCGCTATGTATAATTGAGAAAACCAAGAAAAACGAAAAATATGCGTTGGGCAGTGATGATGTCAGAAACGAATGTCACATTCTTGATCAGGGCCACGAATTACCTTTCTAAGCAAGTTCACAGCGAAAATGGTGCAACACCCTCGAAGTATAGACAAAAAATAAAACGTTGAGACTCTAGGATTGTAATAGTTTTGCCATATGTTGATACAAAATGTGTAAGCTTTTGACATGACTCGACTAGCTCGTAAAATTGTGAACAGAAAACTCACTGCCTGTGATAAAGCTTCTGTGCTTCTCGTGATTATGGTTCTCGTCATAACTTCCCTCCGATAGTACTCATCCTAAATGAAGTGAATGAATGCATGTTTGCCGACTTCATAAAAATGAACAGTGCTTCTGTACAAAAACAACATGGAATATGGAGATACAGAATTTCCGATGAAGAAGAAATAGAATAAGTGCTCACTTGTATGTCTCCATGATGGAACGCTCTGGTACCAGGCATTTTGTACTCGAGTAGAGAAGTTGGAGCAGCAGACGAGGTTCGAAGCACAGGAATTTCGCGCACGGTAGCACGAGAAGGCGCTTGCTCAGAGAGCAGATCCTCACGCGATGAACCACCTGACTGGAAATAATCCCAAAATATTAGTGCATATTGCTAACATCTGAACATCTCGGCAACGGAAGAGTTTCAGTATAATACGAGTGAAAAATAGGAGGCCGGATTCGTGCTAGAAAAACTTCATTAGATAAACTTAGATTACGTGCGATCACGCGATGATGCCAATTTGACTACAGTTACCGACAGGCGCAGTGTTGAGACAGAAATTCCGCCGTAGGGAATAGCGCATGAATCACAAGCGAAGCAGGAGACACGAGTAGAATGCCGTTGAGCGGAAAGTTTCACACAAGGAACACTCGCTCAGTTGCTCACAATGGCATTGGAAGATGTCGTAGAATAAAACAACAGAGAATTAGAAATTCACAAAGCGGGATGCACAATCATGTATTAGGTGCGGCGAAAGTAATGCAATTCGCAAAGTTCCAAAAGAACTGAAACAACGTAATTAAATTATAATGACATAATCACAGCGCGCTTTTCATATCTTCACCTTTTAATATCTTTTCTTTTCACGATGAAATGGTGCGGTTTTGATTAGCGCTAAGGGTAGGAGGGGATGGTCAAGATGACTTTCACCAATGACGGTCAAATAAGTCATCACCGCAACACCATGCTCCCGTCGTGATCGCTGCTTGCGAGGACAATCACTAATCGACAGCAACAAATTGAAGCACTGTTACGCAAAAATGAAACCCTACGGGCGTTGCGCGCCCTCTCAGTCCTGTGTGAATCCATTGGACATTTGCAAGAGAATCCATTGCGCTGGTTCCTCACAGAATGGGTGTACAACGCTTTATGCTCCATTATTACGTTACATTCGTTCTAACATATTCAGACCACATCGCTGCAAGTTCTTACAAGGGAGGTTCAGGACATGGAGCAATTTTTCGAAATGATTTCCTGCAAAGAGAATCTGAGACGTTTCTGACGATTCCTGCAAAGCCAGCCTAGAGGGGTATTCCACGATGACTTTAGCAATGCTTGTCTGCACACATTGAAGTGGTTCCCAAACCAGGTCACCTAGCGAATCCAACAAAACGAGAGCGATATTCTCAGAAAATGGAGTTCGAGCTTTGGTTAAGCTGCTGCTTCCTGGCTGCGAGGTAGCCATCAGACGTGCCGCATGTTGTTGTCGCAGTGGACTTATGACTCATTTTCGCTGATGACCGATCAGGGAAGGCTCTGTGCCGTCCCAGAATGGACTTTTTCCAGATGGTTAAGGCTGCTTTACGCTCATGGTCGGCCAGACCATAAGGTTCCCACCAAAACTTCATTCTGCAGCAGTCTCTACCATACTAATGGCGGCCGGTGCATCGGCTGCGCCCAGGTATCTGCTACAATACCCTTGTAGCAACGTTCGGAGACTCCCAATTTAGGGTGCAAGGAGCGCTCATCAAAAATGACCGCAAGCCCAGTATGAGGTTGAAGTTCATAGCTCGTTTCGTGTTTGCCGTTGTGATTAGACCACTAGCTCAGTACCCTACCAGTAGCAGAGCATGGGTCAAACACAGCGCTGCTCTTCTTTTTTGTCCTCCTTGTAACCGAGTTTGTTTGAGGATCTCAAAGCATAATCATTCATTACAGTCACTGACCTATTTTTATTCCTAGTTGGCTAACCCATTAAGGGCTTGCGTTTCCGAAACTATGCTGTTAAGGCTCTTGAAGCATACTTCAACATACTAACGTATTTCGCAATGAAACCGTCTTGGACGGAAGAAACTTGAAATTTAATAGCAATGCGACAGGAATTATGAGACAACCCAATAATATCGTAAGAGCTCAAATTTAACTGCCTTGTGAGCACCACTGGGCCAGCGGTAGAGTGCGTGTTTTGTTTTTAACACATTGAAGACTTTATCGCGCTCCTTCCCCGAGTTGTTTGCGTTTGTTCTATGATCACACCCTAACATCCACGCTATAAACGACATAGTTCGCAGTATGGTCAAATATGCATTGATTCAGTGGGAATTTTACAAGGCATTTTTCCAAGATTTCTAGGCACGTGAGACAGGCCTTTGCATTCACTTTCCACTGTTTGGACTCTACTATTAGTACTACGAGTAATTTCAACGCACTGAACACTGCTAAAATGACTCCGTGTCGGAATGTTTTGTATAGCTCTCACTCGGATTCCACGGATGTGGCAATGCCTGCGAAACCGCTCATGTTCCACATGGCCAAAAGTGCCAAAGCACGCGATCTCCCCAGTGTGTTAATAATGTGCTACCGCTTCCGACCTACATACTTCGGCCTCAGGCTTGTTATCTTGACTTCATAACCCAACTTACTTAACTCAACATACTCTGCCTCTTAACTTTGTATGTCATGCATTTTGCATGCTCGGCTTTTTCTTAACCTTATGTACAAACAAATTTAAAAAAAAATGTATGTACCTAGCGTTTTGGAATAAGGGCAACAACACTGGGTTACTCCTCCGCCACCTCATCTAGGAGAGCACAACATGCTGAATTATGCATTCACTTTTTTACATCAAATGGTGAGCCCATGCATAGCACTTCATCCTTTGATTGCTTTCCCTATGTGGTAATGCTCACAAGGTTATGCTCATCTTTGACGTAAATGAATATTTTACGTGTTTACGAACACAAATGAAGCTACGAGTGTATTGAAGTAATAAACTGATACTGATACTCCCAGATAGCCTCTGAGCTTTGACTATTGAATACGTTGTGTTATCCACGTTTCCTTTCCTTTGCGACACAAAATCCCCCGATGTGAGAGCGGGGGAGTAGAGGTAAGGGGGGAGGGGGAGGTGACGCCCGTAAGATCGTTCCCATCTCACGTGACTGAAAAGCGAGAATGCGCGGAGTCTGGTTGATCATTCTACATTCGGCTTCGTTGAAACGTGTGGAAAGAATATTTGTGGTTCCATTCGCAGAATTGTTATCCAGCACTGGGATAGCTTGAGGCCATCAACCCATTTTGCAGCAAATGTCTTTTTGAAAATGGCCACTTCCACCTGAGATTCTATCCTTTTGAGCTCATCTAACCGATCAACACACGTCGGCTAATTTGAGCACCGGCTCTGGCGAACCATTACGCAACACGAACATGCGGAGGCGTCCTGTTCAAGAATTTCGGGCAATTATTCATAAATTATCTTCTCTTTGAGCACTCTGTGGCACCAGATTCAACGATGGCTCGCTGTTTGAAGCGTGCATTATCGACGCTGGCCGCGATTCGTTCTGAAAAAAGGTGTTGTACTTCATAAAATGGTATTGGAGAGTATTTCCATGAAACTTTGCATAGGATCACGCCGAACAATGCTGGCGCAAACGGTACGGTTCACAGTAAACGCTGCATGGAGGGATAAAATTACAGAATGTGCGCCAGGGTCAATCATGGTCAAGGATTTAGGGAAAGGGTGTTTCGAATTTCTGTGTACTATGAATTGCACATTAGTGAAGATTGAGGATAGCAAGGTGTGAGAAAAGAGCGGTACAGTTCTGAATTCCACCACTAACCATCAGAGGAGGAAAGCAGATCGGCAACCGTTCGTGCAAATGGGAGCTATAAGGAGGATACGAAACAACTCTAAGCCCGAGATTCCCAAAATTTTCCCGGACCTTCTCAACAATGGGTGCTTCCTGAGGTGTTGCTATCGAGCCATGGACGAGTGAATTACGCGTTGATTGTGACATATGCGCGTGTCTCTACTGCTCAATCTCTTCCTTCGTATACCACCAAAAATTCGAGTAAGGTTGACTTAAACGAGGTTCACCTACAGCAGTTAGAGCACCCATAGCGTTACAGCAAGACTACCGTCACTTGTCTATTTGTTAGTATTATACAATAAACCTCTCTTCACTGGCAGCAAGATGGATGGTCACTAAAATGAACTACAATACATCAGCTTGAACATAACGATGTTAGATCGTGTTTGAATCTAATTCGGATCCAAAGCATGTGGATTCACACTCTTCGCTTCCGGATCCTTACAAGACTTAGAAAATGCTCCACCAAGGAAGTCTCTCAGAGCGTGCCAAGCTTTTTCAACTCGGTTTTTGCAAGATATAGGCGCAAGAACCACAAAAGGTTCGGGTTCGTTTTTCATAAACGGCTCCCTGAATGCCGAGAAAAGGGCGAGAACTGTCGTTTTTAGTGATTCATTGTGGCGCATATCGTCCACAACGTTGACTAAAGTCATATTAACACGTTGACGACATCGCGTGTTTTGGCATTTTGCACCATGTGGGACAGGAGCGATTCGCGAGCTGGCCGTGCTCACCTTACTTCCGCTTATTTTCTTTAAGTGTACAACAAATTGAATCTTATAGAATTATGTCGGCAAGGGTGAAAACACAAAGGTCAATTTAAATGTGTAATAAACAATGTGAGACCTCAA